TCCTCGTTTCCCCCCACTTTGTTTGCCAAATTCAATTTACCTCAACATCGCCTGGCACTGAGAAGCAACAAAAGAGAGGCAAAGGGGAGATCTGCTCTGAAGGCTACTGTAGAGGAAGGAGATGAAAAAAAAAGAGAGAGAGAGCTGTTCAAATGAGCTTTCTCTGGACCAAGAAGAGTGTAGCGCAGATGTCTGAGGGTAAGCAAGAAGATGATTTGTCATTTGGGGCTGTGCCTCACTGAAAAGCTGTTTGTACTGGAAATTTAAGGCAGTAGAGATTCTGATGCGCACATCAGTCGCGAATGGACATTATTGCAGTCAATGTGAACGTGAAAGCAGTTTTCAGTACAAATAGAAACAGTAATCTTGTAAATGAAGGAAAGCATGTCTTTGCATTCACTCCATGTGGAATTTTTACTTCTATCTTACCTGAAAAAAAAATGGTAATTTAAACAGTAACTTTTCTTAACATTCTCATGTAATTTATTTCATGGCGCTGCCGTATTTCAGTCTGATTATTTAGCTCATATTTCCCATAATGTCCATAATGTTTCTTTCTTTTCATTCTACTTCATTTTACATCATTGACTGTCCTGATTCATGGGTCAGAATTCTGGCAGAAAATATTGTGACCAGAAATTTAAGGCTAAATACAGGCACAAATTGAAAAGAAATATATATTATATACATTGCGTCTATCTGATCCAGCGTATTCACAGGCCATTGCTTTTAATTACTTTGGGCTCATTCACTACCTCACAGCTCTGAAATAAACATCTAGAAAGCCACTTAAAAATGAACCATACAATCACGCTTAATCAGTAATAAAATCGCTTTGATTTTATACACTAAACGAATTTCAGGAGAAATGCAGATCCAATCAAACACTTAGTATATTGTGTAGAAATATGTGAAATTAGTTTCACTGTCTTTTAAACAATGTTATCATTTTTAGCAGTAATTACATGAGACTGCATGGAGATGTACGGACAAACTGATTGACTGATTGATTGATTTTAAAACAGGCCTTGTCACAGTGGATATGGCTGTTCTGACACACAGGTTATATTAATTGATTGCTTGCATACGGCAAGAATCGTAATCAATCTTTCTGTGTCTCTTTTTTTTCTCTCTCTCCTCTCTGCCATGATCCTTTGTTTCTTTTCTATAGTGTATCAGGGTTAGGACCAAGACAAGCTGCTGATGGGAAGCTCCACATGGGCTGCAAGCCCATTTAGTCTGCCTTCTCTCATTTCTGCCTATTGTCAAATTGAATGTACTTCTCTGAGTTCATAAATTTTCTTTCTTTCTTTTTTTTCGGTTTGTTTTTAAAATGTGCCACTGTTGAGCTGCCTCATGTTAATGGTGCTAAGAAAGCTGACAATTGTTTTCTTTTCTTTACCGTTCAGTTTCGATTTCTTTATTTTCATTTTTCGGTATGTTTCATTTCACCAGTGTTAATGAAAAAAAAAAAGAAATGCAAAATAGATTAGGTTCCTAACCCTCTTTATGAATGTATATTATAATGTTATGTTTGATGTATTCACTTCATGATTCTTTGACACTGATTGGAATTACTTTTGCTCTTTTCATTAAAAGATTACCGAGCTTTATATATACTGTCTAGAGTTGTTACCAGAAGGAATCTTAATGAACTCTTGACACTACAAAATCTTGTATATTTTTTGTGTGCCAATTTGTAACATATTTTGTAAGTGTATATTTTTCTTAGAAAGTGCTGTGAAGTATTCGTGTGTGTGAGTAACCTTTTATGCGCCTCTATGGGCAGTGGAAAGGATATACAATGACAAGTTTCTGGTTTTAAAAACCAAAATATGAAAGTATCAACAGAAAACTAGAAATATTTACATTTTGTTGGGAGTTTTGTAATAAGACCATGATCTTGTTGTGAGAGTGTTGTGTTACTGTGCAAAACACAAATAAGCAAAGAAAAAAAATGAAAACTTGGAAAAAAATATAATTTGTGAACAATTTGCTGTTTTATAGATTTTCATGTAAATTATTTGAGTATTATTTTGTTTTTTTTGTTTTGTTGTAACTGTTGCAAAGGTTTTAAATATTTGTGATCAAGCCTGTATGGTGATAATGTAATATTGGTAACTTGCTGAGTTTTGTAATAATGTTTATGGAGTAAATATACAAATTAAAATAAGATTTTGAATGCTGCTTTCTGAAGAGAGTTGGGTTGTGTTTTTTACCACCCACTTATTGCTTTTAAAAATGAGCTACATTATATTGGAGTAAATTTGCAATTCTCTGTTAGCTTCTCTAGCTTATCTGCTAGGTTTTACTAGCTTCGCTAGCTACTCTTCACTCCAGTAGGTTATTTAAATCTTATTTTAATTGAAATTAAGATTTTGAATGCTGCTTTCTAAAGACAGTTGGGTTGTGTGTGTGTTTTTTTACCACCCACCCATCGCTTTAACCAGGAACTACATCACATTAGAGTAATAAAGTAGTAGTTGTACAAATCTCGATTCTGCTGTTAGCTTCTAACAGCATCTTTAGATTATCTTCACTCTACTAGCTTTTAATTTAATTTAAATAAAATTTAAATGTATAACTTAAAACGGTATTTTTTTGAGAGTTGGGCTGTCTTTTGTTTTGTTTGTTTTTTTACTACTCACCCATTGCTTTCAAAAGGAACTACATCACATTGGAGTAAATTTACAAATCTCTAATAGCTTCTCTCCTGGCTTTTCTAGCTTAGCTTCACTCTAGTAGCTTATTTAAAGCTGATTTGAATATAGTACCCATCCATTGCTTTAACCAGGAACTACTATCACGCTGGAGTACATTTACAAATATTCACTCTACCAGCATATCTGCAAAGAGCTTCACTCCATTCAAAACACAATTAGTAAAGGTTATGATGTGGAGTATTGTGGAAAATAAAACTAATATTGCAGACACTACATGAAGATGTCAAGAGTAAAGGCCACGTAGCATTTCTTCAAAGTAAATATTCCACCTTTCCCTGTGATACTACTAAAATAACAGTGATGTGGATAAATCTGATCAATTCCATTCAGTTTGTCCGTGCCACAAAACGTGTAAATGTAAAAACAACCTTAATAATTCCAATTAGTCTTTCCCTGGTTGTTATATTGGACGATTCTTAGACGAAAGTCGTTTTAATTTCTGCACAAGTCTGGCTTTGGCTCATGTTATTTTAATGTCATATCTAATTAGCACTCAGGGTCAGGCATTGCTAGAGTGACTGCTCATCCATAACTCTGAGCTGGGCTGCTGTGGTCCACACTGCAACTCATTCTGGCATGCTTAATTGGAGCTGGAGATACAGTCTGAGACCATAAACAGATCCTGTGATGTATGCCTCCAAAATTGTCAGCTGGTATTAGCATTGTTTTTGTTCTTTAGTCACCCGTAGCAGATAAGGGAGCGAGCAAATTATAAGATGGAATGTCTAATGCAATGGATCAGGTACACCTGTGGTTATTAAATGAGATGCTTGTTGTTTTGTCAGTATGTGCTTATGCTGCATAGACAGCCATAAGCCAGCTTTGTCATTAGGACAACTGTTTTTATCTTTAAAAAAAGAAAATTATAGAGCTATAAAGCAACATTTTAAAGGGATTGACATGTTTTCATAGTTCAGGTTTATTGAGTGTAATCATGGGAACCAAAAAAACCCCAAAATAATTACGCAACACATTGTTATACATTTTGGCAGATTTGCTGTAAAACAAAGGGAGTTCTTTTAGTAGAAAGCTTTACGGGCTAATCTGATGTGCGGAGTTCATTAAAAATGACACAGTACTTCTGCTGGGTAATCCATTCTCTGTGTTAGAACAATGAAGCTGAAGCCATTTCAGAGGCTTTCAATAGCTGCCCAGTGGGTTTTCTTGATGGTATTTCCAGGTAATTTTCACAAATTTGTGTCTTGTTAGTTTGTGAGCAATTTTTCCCCACGCTGGTTTACAAATTACCTGTAAGCACTACTACCAAACAATCATCACTGGGTTTCTTCTGGTATGCTGTAGCAATAATGCTCCCTCCTGGCCTTAAAAATATATACAGGGACTGATATAAGTCTCTGGTGTTTCTTCCTCACTTCCTCACTTGGGTTGTTTCAGGACTTTAAATGCTTTGACTGTCTTTTAGACCCATTTTTTGTTTGTAGTTGGAAGCCATTTGAAGTGGTTCTACAAAAGCTTTATTTCATTTATTACAAAACACATCTTCAAAGACACAACAAATGAAGACATGGCTATTACTTAAAGCAAAGAATCAAACTATAGACACTGTAGTTTTGTGGTGTCTTAAATGGTAGGCCACATCAACGTAATGGCATAATGAAGTCACCCTACAAGATAATAACTAACTGGTTTGATAAAATGACAGTTTCCTGGCAAAAGGTAGGTAGAGCAAATCTTTCAGCTGATGAGACTATGAGATGAAAAATACTTTATTTATCCCAAAAGACTTTATGCATTTATGTCTTTGGTTACAGCAGTTGAAATTTTGAACTATAAACTTGCATCATTCAGTCCCCACATTATTATTATATTAAATGCATTCTATCTTGTTTTTATGTACAACATTCACAGGGCGTATAATTGTAAAAGATGTAAACAATACGAACTATACTGTATGAAACTAATGTTTCGTAAATTCTCAAATAAGATATTTCTTTTGTCCGCCAAACAGCTGAATCTCATTTGAGAATTTATGCAAAAACATTGAGATTTTTTTCTTCATTGTTTTAATGTATTAATTTCTAACTTTCCTAAAAAACAGTTGTATTATGCTGGCCATTTAAAAATTCAAAACTCTACCTAGTATTTTGCATTAGCCACCGCACAGCGACGCTACAGCTCGCCAGCGGAGCCCCCTTGTCAACAAACATCCTTGTTCGTCTTTTTTTTTTATCCAAAAATATTTATCGCCCTGATTTTAGTCTCTCAGGAACGCTGCGCCTGTCTCACCCGACCTCCATCGCTACGCCTAAACGCGAGACATTTGCCAGTGCCTGTAAGGAATTACTCGGGGTAAAACCCAAATGTTTCGTCCGTTTCCGGAAAATCATTTTAGGCTTCCTACAAGAAAGAAAATGGAATCTGGCAGTCGCACTTAGCTAAACAGTGTATCGTTTCTGGGCGAATATTAAAAGGGCAGCTGGGTTGTACGATAACGCTGCCGTTAACATCGCCAAGCAGGTAATTATTAGTGGTTTGGTGACAGATGGTGTATCCGTTCTAATTAACTTTACTCTCTTTAGCTAGCTAATTTTAGCTGGATCGCTTTGGTTAGGTTATGGCTATTAACGTCACTGGTTGACGTTGTTAGCTTGCGGTGATACTAATGGTAGTTCAATGCATTTTTAATGAAACCGTGATGTTTATAGTCAATGTCCAGTAACGGTAAACAAGAATAATATCAAGTTCAAAAGACGATTCCAGCTTCAGCTTTGTTTTGCCTCATATATTCACATGGGGCTGATGTAAAAGCGAGCACTAGCACAAAGTTAAAAGCTAATGTTGAGTAAGACGTTTGTAACGCTTCTAACTCGGCTAGTTGACGTGGAAGCTAACTAGTGTTAGCGCAGCATAACCGGGATTGCTTTGTCATTGAATGATCTTGTTTGGATGATGTTGCAGTCACTACACAGTGAGTTTCTTGTTGTTTGATTTACAGGTCATTAGACACACGATGGGACCTCTTTTATGGCTGAAAATGATGGCAGTAGCCGGCGTTAGCACCTATGTAGCATGCTAATTGGTCGCTAGCCAGCGTAAGCTAAGCTAGATGATGCCATTTTGTTTTTATCTCGACTTTGACTTTGAGCAACATATGGCTTCATCGTACGACTTACAGCCACATAGATCATTATATTATTTGAGTTATTTATACGACTTTAAAATACATGTGACATTTTCGAGGAAATCGTATTTTGCGTTTCGATATGGGCTCAACTTACAAGTGTGGCTCAATGTTATGCTTTGAAGACGTTACCGGTGCTAACATTTGCTAATGTGTCGTTATTCTTATTTGATGCTGCGTGGTGCCTGGTTATGCCTAATTTTGATGCCCAGTTGCCTCTCTTCTTAACTGTCATCACTACAATAACTGCTATACTTTGTGAAAATACTTGATGTATCAAATAATACATTTCATGAGTGGTTGGTAATGAATCCCAGTTGCAGGAGGGCATGCTCATGTCTTTTAGATCAGCACCTAATCCTTTGTTTACTTTTTTCTGAAGCAACTGGATCTTGCTGAATATTGGATCATCTCTAGTCCGCCCTCCCTTCTGAACCAATGGAGGGGTCTGACAGCGTGGAACAGAATGGCAGTGAACTGCCAGAGTCACAGCGCAGGAGGCAGCTGGACCGCCTGGACAGGGAGGAGGCCTTTTACCAGTTCGTCAACAATCTCAGTGATGAAGACTACCGTCTCATGAGAGACAACAACCTTTTGGGCACTCCAGGTAGTAAATCTTTAACCTGTCTATTCTTTAGTCTTGTTAAAACCTCCCAATTAAAGTATTAATGATTTACACAAGTAAAGAGTACTTTTTCTTTTCTGCGCTCCCTTTCTATGTTCTCTGCTGAACTCGCACCTCTCTTTAAAAGTTTTCAGCTGTTTAACTGGGAGGAAGGTAGGAATATGCTATTGATATGAAGAAAGTTAAATAATTTCACACACAAGGCACCTTGATTGAGCAGTAAGCATTGAAGATCACACTCAGAGTGCAGTATTTTTCACATACAGGCTTTCTTTTTGTTTTTTGTTTTCAAACCCAGATTTCTTGGTGGATAAATCTCTTGGCCGTTTGTGGAAAGTAGAGTTAGTTTATCTTTGAACAATCTTTTGTAGTAATTGTAGTTGGAATGTGTTTTGTTTTGGGGGTTTTTTTTTGGTTTTTTTAATAGTAGCTTTACCTCTAATGCTTTTTTTTTTTTTTTTTTTTTTTTTTTTTTTTTAAGTCGCGTTATTCAGATTCTGCTCAAACTGCACGATTGACTCGCAGGGGTTAGAAGTTCGTAGGTCACGATGCAGGGGCTCACACTATACGGCCCGATGCTCTGATGCGACCTGAGTGCTCAAACTGTGCGTTCATAAAAACGAAGGTTATAACAGAAATTCTGTCGCTCGCTCTCCCTCTCTCTTTCACTCACACAGACACGCACACCACCACCATCAACTTTGCTAAATTGCTAATGAAAAACACTGATCAGGCAGCTGTGATTGAGCAGCAATGTAGATTCAACTATTTTCACGGTTGTGGTTGTGATAATTTTGTGAGGCCACATCGAAAAGGCTCGGATGAGCTTGCCATAGTTCTACAAGTTGTGTCTCCATCGCTTGTGTCCAGATCACACGCTGCACTGCCGTGCTGCGCAGTCTTTTTCGCTGACATTTGTGTTTGCGCGTGTGCAGTGTGAGAAGCTGCTTTGACACCCTCACGACGGTCGCGAGGATTTCAAACCTGTTTGAAATCCTCACGACCAAGCGATTAATGATCAGGAGCTGGTCGTGAGGGGTTAATTGCTTCTCGTTACCCCACATATACTACACGACGCACGATGAAGGCCAAAATCGATCGTCAAAACGGTCGCACGACTCAAAAATCGGCCAAAAATCGCACAGTGTAAGCCCAGCATTAGTTAACTAAAACACGAACTGTCAACAGGCATTTCTTATAAAACGCTATTCATCAACCACACAGTTTAAAGTGTACAACTTTCTAGTTATATTTTATTGCCTTTACCAAACTATGTGAAATAGTCTGATGCCCCAAATTATGGTTTGAAAATAAAATCTGATGTAATGGAATTTCCTGCACTAAACTATATGCTGATGTCAATATGGTTTTCCGCATCATACATATCATATGTAGTTTCTATTTTCAGTTGTCCTGTCACTGAGTAATTTTCTCTTACTTTGTCATGAGAGAAAAAGATGGTCCTTTTCGAAAGCCCCTCTTTTGGTTCATCTTATTTTAGCTGTCTTCTGCCAGTTTTATTGATATAAAAATTTATGACCTGTTGGTCTAATCTCTGTCCTCCCATCTTTACATAGCTCCTGCTTGTCAGTAGAAGTTAAAGTAAATGTTAAGCTTAAGTACCTATGGCTAGTTTTGGATTTGCCGCTATCCTTGAAATTTCACCTCCTATGGACTATTGAAGACATCCAATCCATTTCTGTCCCAGGAGAGTGGGAGTGGGAAAGTAAGTTTGGAGCGTGTAGTGGAGCACCCTACAAGGAGAGGGCTATGACTGGAGAGTGTCGTGCCCTGGTAAGTCTAGAGGTTGACCCTGTGCACGAGAAAATGCTAACTTCCTGGTTTGAGACCGGATGTGGGGTTGTACATTTCTGGTTGCTTTACTTTGCGGTCAATCGCTACTGCGAAAATATTCTCCAAAATCATGTCCAAAACTCAAAAACGGAAAGATCGCGTTAAATTACAAAGAGCAGAAGGTGGGAACACTCACCACTGTTGTATCATAAAAAATCTAATGATCAACTTTGACGTGTAAGGAGTTTCGATGATCAGTTATTTACACCACTCAACACAAGCAGAACTGCATTACAAAATCAGAAGACACATCGTCCACATTCAGAAGCACATCTCTGTATAGTGACTGGTCTTATGATTTAAACAGGCAAATATTCAGCATTCAAACTACAGGTGAAGAATAGTCAAACCAGATGTTTCCCCGTTATGTTGATATCAGCTAGTCAAGTACACACCTAGACAGCATGTTAACAAACTGAAAAAAAGCCACACAAAAAATGAATGATTGCTGGTAAGGGTTTCTATACATTAGTATTTACGAAGGGTATGTTGTAACTTACCTTCAAAATTACAGTGCTCCCTCGATGTAACGCGGTTCACCTTTCACCTTGCTGTTTCGTGGATTTTTTAGTGCAAGTTTGCAGTCATGGCGTGGGTTCCCTCTGGTACTCCGGCTTCCTCCCACCGTCCAAAGACATGCAGCTTGTGGGGATAGGTTAATTGGATAATCCAAATTGCCACTAGGTGTGAATGTGCGAGTGAATGAGAGTGCGAATGGTTGTCTGTCCCTGTGTGTTGGCCCTGCGACAGACTGGCGACCTGTCCAGGGTGTACCCCGCCTCTCACCCTATGACAGGTGGGATAGGCTCCAGCCCCCCGCGACCCTGAAAAGGATAAGCGGAAGCGAATGGATGGATGGAAGTTTGCATGCTTATTTTTTTACGTCGCATTGCGTCCTGCGTCCTGATCGCTGCAGACGATCTCCTCCGTGACGTCTCTCCTGTACAGTACAGAATCGCTGCATCGATCGCTAGCAGTGTGACTCTGAAGTGCAGTACTGGATGTCCACGAAACGTTTTGCACCGTCAAAAAATAAAACTTGCTGCTTGATTTCACCCATCGCTGGTTATTTTTAGAACATAACACCCGCGATAAACGAGGGACAGCTGAGAAATATAACATTTGAATCCCTTTTCTCTTTTGCTCTGAGGCGCAGGGAAAAAATATCGACAAGTCGATGAACATCATTTACAGATATATTGGGTAAATGCCCAAGACATCTATAGAAATGTGAGTCTCTTCTTTGGTCAGCCCCTGGGGCTGGTCTTCATCATCATCATTTAGTAGGAAGAAGTGAGCAAGTCGCAGGAAGGGCAGGGAGCTGGGCTCCTCCAGGCCGATAGGTGGTCTTGGTCGAGCCCTGCCACCAGTGGGAGGCGGACCAGTGGCAAGGCCTTCATCCATATCAGTTTCAACCGTCCTTCCTCTGCCTCCAGCAACAACCGGAAGGATGGTTGCTGCTGGCCGCTTGATTTGTTCATTTGCTTAACTTGTTTTGGCCGGTAAACAAGGTGCGAATAGGACACCGGAAACAAAGCTCCCCACAGGAGTTTCCGCACCGGAAGTAGCATATGCTAACGTGCACATAGTCAATTGTCCTGTTGCTGTGATCAAAGGAAAAATGAACAATCAAAATATATGTACTGATTATTATTAATAATATATTTTTAATGTATTTATTTTAGGTTGCTAGCTGAAAGATATGTAGTTCTATGTAGCTTGTTCTTCTGTCAGCTTCCCCTCTTTCCTTGCATTAAATCCAATATTTGTTTTTATTGTAGGGAGTTAAGTTGGCACTTTCTACCAGCTGCTTGAGAAGAGGAAGCGAACTTAACCCTTAAAGAGTAGATGGACTGCTGATGATTTATTTATTTTTTCTTTGTTAATAACAGAATGTTATTTTGTGATGTTTCTTCCAGGCGAGGTAACACAAGATGAGTTATTCAATAGACTACAGCAAATCAAAGATGGTCCTGAGCAACAGAATAACACCGCTGGTACTGAAAGTGTAGAAGATCCAGTTGGTACGTTTGATATTTCTCTATATATTGTTTTGTTTTTTCCTCATTCTTTGACTGCTTTTATGTCAGAATATGATTTCTCACTTGCTAATTCTGCTCATTTTCAGAACAACCGGAAAGCTCAGAGGATCCTGCCAGTGGTGATAGTCTGCTTGACTGGCTGAACACTGTGAGGCGCACAGGCAACACAACTAGAACCGGTCATCGTGGGAATCAGTCATGGCGGGCTGTGAGCCAGACCAACCCGAACAGTGGCGATTTTCGCTTCAGTCTAGAAATCAGTGTGAACCGCAATCTGGCTGAGCAACAGGCAGCTATTGAGGGAGAGCAGGAATCATCAGAGCAACCTCCAGAAGAATCATCAGAGCAACCTCCAGAAGAATCATCAGAGCAACCTCCAGAAGAATCGCAATCGCCAGAAGAATCGTCAGAGCAATCGCCAGAAGATAGGTCAGAGCAACCTCCAGAAGAATTGCCAGAACAGTCTCCAGAACAAGCTCCAGAGGGTCAAGAAATAGTGGCAAATGCTGAACCACCAGTTCCCATGGAGACAGAAGTGGTAGAAGAACCAGTTGTAGATGAGTTGGCGGTCATAGTGGAACCAGAGCCTGAACTAGAAGAGGTTGTTTCACAAGAGCTTGTAAGTGAATCTCCCACCTCACCTTCTCCCCTGCCAGTGCAGCCACCACTCTGTCCTTCTCCACGCAGAGGGCAAAGGAGACCCCGCAGCCGAAGTCCAGAACCACGCAGGACTCGGGCCCGTTTAGCCAGGAGCCGCTCCCCTCTCAACTTGGATCAACTTGATGGACTTCCTAATCCACGGCATTCTTACATCTCTCAAAGTGCCAGTTCTTCCAGCAGTGCTCCCCCTGTACCTCAAGTGGAGGGTAGCTCACGGACTCGACAGCATGTTCTTTCAAGACCAAGCCACACTGATGGAGATGCTCAGCAGTCTAGGGCAGTTGCAGAATCCATTCCAGAGGCCCACAATGTTGCCTCTCAGGAGGTAGAAGCCTCTGGGGGCGAAGGGGGCGCAGCAGGGCGTCGCCCCCCTACTATTATGCTTGACCTTCAGGTGCGCCGTGTGCGTCCAGGTGAATATCGGCAAAGAGACAGCATTGCCAGTCGTACTCGCTCGCGCTCCCAGAACTCAAACAACACATTTATGTATGAGAGTGAACGTGGTGGATTTCGTAGGACTTTCTCGCGCTCTGAGCGTGCTGGTGTGAGGACCTACGTCAGCACTATTCGCATCCCCATCCGAAGAATCTCCGATGCAGGTTTGGGAGAGGCAACTTCAATGGCTCTCCAGTCTATGATACGGCAGATCATGACTGGGTTTGGTGAGCTTGGCTACCTCATGGACTCTGACTCTGACTCTTCAGATTCAAACCGTGGAGCCAGTGCTCCTGCAGAAATAGAAGCCCTCCATAATCCAGATGCTACCCCTGCCGATGCTCCTGCTGCTGATGTTGACGAGCAACCGGTTGCTGCTGGAGGCAGAGGAAGGACGGTTGAAACTGATATGGATGAAGGCCTTGCCACTGGTCCGCCTCCCACTGGTGGCAGGGCTCGACCAAGACCACCTATCGGCCTGGAGGAGCCCAGCTCCCTGCCCTTCCTGCGACTTGCTCACTTCTTCCTACTAAATGATGATGATGAAGACCAGCCCCAGGGGCTGACCAAAGAACAGATTGACAACCTCTCCATGCGCAACTTTGGAGAGAGTGATGCCTTGAAGACTTGCAGTGTGTGCATAACAGAGTATGCAGAAGGGAACAAGCTACGTAAGCTTCCCTGCTCTCACGAGTACCATGTGCACTGCATAGACCGCTGGCTCTCCGAAAACTCCACATGCCCCATTTGCCGCAGGGCTGTCCTAGTGTCAGCCAACAGAGAGAGTGTGGTGTAACGCTTTGACAGACTGAAGGCCTTTTGTCTCAGCCGAAGTAATCCAATATCTCCCAAGTCTGTAAGAGGCTGTGAGAAAACGTGTTTCTGCTGTTGAAATGTATTTCCTTCATACTATTTGTGAGTTTGATCGTATTGCAGACAACAGGTTTTATTTGGGGTGCTCCTTACAGTGACGATGGAGAATATTTAGTTTTTAGTTAGACATTTATTATTATTGCAGTCCAAAGTGGGGCACAAGCGATGCATGCTGTCTATCAACCCGTAGTGGCTGTGCAGTGTTGCGTTGCATCAAGCCATGCGCACAAGTAGACTGATATCTCATAAAAATAAATCCTCTGATTATAAATGCTGCACACTTGCAGGTAGTTCAGGCACTTCAAATCTGTTCTCTCAACTCCCGAATGGCCCCTTGTATAACATTAGCTGGGTATAGGTACAGTTGCTAGTTACACCAGTTCAAAGTATTAGCTGTAAATAAGCTTGTAAAATAATTTTGAATCATACATTGTATCACTGAATTGGTTTCGGATTGTAAATGAACTCATTTGAAGATCTGGGTCATGATGGTCTGCAATTACTCTCTGAATTTGATTTTAAATGTTTAGGTGCTAACAATGTATACAGCAGAATTATTTACAGATTGTGATGTCCAAAGGATGGAGGACAAAGTGTTTTGCAATTTACAGTGTGACTTGTGCTCTCCATTCTTGTTCACCCTAAATAAAACACTTTTTTTTTTCTTCTTTGTTTGGTTTTGAGCGGGATATACCATAAACTCGCAGAGGGAAAAAAAACCCAGAATGTTGAACTTTTTAGGTTTTTGTTTTTTTGTTTGTTTGTTTTTTTGTTTGTTTGTTTTTTTTTTCTCCAAAAGTTAAAGTCTGTTTTGGATTAATATTGTATTGTTACTTTCTTGATTATTGTAATGCCAGATGTAATCGTATGAGAAAATGAAAGCTTTTTCATTATGGGTAATGGAGGCTTTGTCAGTATCAAGTTGTGAGTTCCCCACCTCTAAAATATTAGCAGGCATGACACAGATGCAAAAGGACATTTACTTTTAATACTAAATGATGTCACAGTTGTGATCCTTTTGTGTGTTATTGTTCTTCTCGATTCTTTTTTTTCCTACTAACAATTGGATTAATTAAATATGAAATAAATTGTGGTCTTGGCAGAGTGAAATAATCACAGATTGAATAAAATGGCAATCCAGACTTGCTTCCTCAGCTCAAGCCACAACAGATCTCTTTACCTGTCAGTCCACCTTCATGTTTAAGTTGCAGCTTAAGTTATTACCCCAAAGGTTTGATATATACCAAGTCTGGGGTGGGAAAGTCTCCATTATTGTTCATTGGGTTTTGCTTCATAGGAAAGTCAAGTTTCTTGACCACTGTGCCCTCCTGCCTCACGAGCAAATGCTCCATATCTGTGTGCAATACATGCAATTGTAAAAGTAAGGAAATGAAGACTTATTACCCATTATGTGTTGAATTTATTTTATTTAGAAGTTCTGTAGGTTTTAATAGCACTGTTGATGAACAGGGACACTGGCTAAAGGAGAAAAAAAAAAGCAACACTTAAAGCCATCCTGTCACATTTCTTATTTTGTTTGATGTCTTAGCCACAACTATTACTTCCCTGTGTGGAGCATAAAGGTTTGAATGCAAGATGATGTTGAATACCATTAACATGTAAACAATGTATGTTCCCTCATAGGCCATGCTTTAGTTTTGGCCTTGTTCTGTGATCCATCCAGTGCAGTATGTTAACTGGGTGTTAAATGAAAACTAACCGCTGAATTAAACAAGTTGTTATGCTATGAAATGCTTTGCCAGTATGCATTCTCTACACTTACTGGGCTGTCTGATCAAATGAACACGTCCACAGCTGTAGTCACTGGCCACTTCACTAGTTACACCTTGATGGACCCCCACCCCAATTTGACTCCAGAACTGCCTTACATCTTCATGGCACAGATTCAATAAGGTGCTAGAAACATCTCTCAAGAGATTTTGGCATCGTCATTGACATGACAGTGAGACTCAGCTGCTGCACATCCATGATGCAAATCTCCCATTCCACCTCATCCAAAAAAATGCTCGGTTGGATTATGATCTAGTGACTGCGGATGCCATCTGAGTAAAGCGAACAGTTTATGATGATCTGAGCTTTGTGACACGGTACTTACCCTGTTGGAAGCAGTCCTCTGAAGATTGGTACATCATGGTCATAAAGGGACGGACACGGTCAAGTGAAACAACGTTCAGTTGGCACTTAGGGGTTCTAAGTGTGTTAAGAAAATATTTCCCACACTATTACAGCACCAGCAGCAGCCTGAACTGTTGATGTGAGGCAGTTAAACTGTTGATTCATGCTTTGATGGCATTTATGCCATATTCTCATCCTACTATTTGACTATCGTAGGAGAAATCGAGACTTATCAGACCAGGCAACATTTTTGAAATCTATTGTCCAATTTTGGTGAGGTTGTGTGACTTATAGCCTCAGTTTCCTCATCCTCTTCCTATTGGCTTTATCAGTCTAAAGCAGCCTAGCCATTCTCCTCTGACCTCTGACATTAACTATGTATTTTTCACCCAGAAAACTGTGACTCACTGGACATTTTCTCTTTTTCAGACCATTATCAGAAACACTCAGATCAGCCCATCTGGTACAAAGAGCAATGCAACTTTCCAAGTCACTTATACACCTTTCTTCCTGATTATGATGCTTGGCTTGAACTTCAGCATGTGATCTTGACCATATCCATACGCCTAACTGCACTGCAAAGCTGCCATGTGATTGCCTGATTAGATATTTGCATTAACAAGCACTTGAACAGGTGTACATAATGAAATGGCCAGAAAGTGCACTTTATTTGTACTTTGCCAGTCATTTATTAACGGGCCTCTGAGCAGATCCTTAAACTACCCTGTGATCAGAACAAGTAGATGGATCATGAGCCTGCCTGTCAGCAGGCTCTATATCACAAACCAAAAAACTGACCCCTTTGTTTGAAATTCAATACTGCATATGTTACAAAGGTGGAATAGTGTGAGCATTGTAATGTGTGCATTAAATGATGGGCTTAGTGTACTTAGTAGTTTACCCTGAGCACTGTCCTTATTTAAATAGAGGAAAGCAGTACATCAATATGACCTCAATAACAAAACTCAGACTATTATTTACATTAAACGCATGATTACACTTTACGGCAGGGCAGCCGTACCTGCACAGGTGTACCTGTCAAACGATTAGTGTTGTTATTACCCCTCAGAATCCCAGCCGACAGACAAAAAACAATGGTCCTTGTTTATGCCCATGCACTCTGTATAAACTGCATGTTTCGACAAGCATATAAACGTACGGCCATTGTGCTGTGGTAAATGTTTCACAGGACACGAGTGGAAAAAACGAGGAAGTAGCCTACCGCTGTCACATTACGGCAGGATGGCGCTCCGGGCAGCTGGAGGTCGTTTATGGCAGTTTCAGAAGAGCTGTCTGAAGGTAAAATGCGTTATTATCTGGCTAAAGGGCTAACAGTGCTCACCTATCACCACTATTGTCCCGTAAACTTTGGCAGGCTGCAGATGTTTAGACGTAAAAACAGTTTAGACTTCCGTTTTTAGGGAAGCGACGGAACCGAATTGTGAAGTTGGTTAATGGTGTAAGTGGCTCGAGTTTATATTGACGAGCTAAGGATATGGGCTAACAAGCTACGAGAGCTAAATCGATATTTTTAAAACCAGTGCTTCCTTTCACCTCTCACACGTCTACGGGCTGAAGCACATACTCACCACGGAGCGTCGCTGTTCGCACTCAGCTCAACTACAGCCACTTCTATTCATGGCGACAAAGTCAACTCCTAAATCAAAGTTTGTTCTCTTTTCTCTTGTAGGTTACCAGCTTTCAAACACTAGGAACTGTCAAATACAAAAGAAGCTGTCCCGTTGAAGTGAGCCATCTGGATCATTTGGTGCTTACAGTGAAAAGTGTGCCAGATACCATCAGTTTTTACAGCTCAGTTCTTGGCATGGAGGTGGTCACTTTTAAGGTATGCACAGTAAAAACCCATTGCTTTTATTATTAATGCTGTTGGGCATGTTTCTATTAAATACGCTTGTTTATTATAATGACAAATAATTGCATTGCAGTAGAAAAAGTGAACTGCCATGGTTTTTAAAAAAAATGTCCACTAGGTGGCATGCTTTGATTGTGAGTCTTGAGCCTGGAGTCTTCTGTACACCCACTCACATCTTATCTGCATTTTCAAGGGAAACCGCAAGGCTCTGAGCTTTGGGCAGCAGAAGTTTAACCTTCACCAGCGGGGGCAGGAGTTTGAACCAAAAGCTAAGCATCCAACCTCCGGCTCTGCAGACTTGTGCCTCATAACCAAAACCCCTCTAGCTGAAGTAGCTGCTCATCTTAAGGTAGTTCACACAATTCCTTAAGTGGTTTTGATTTTACAGGTCACATTATGTAACCATTTTGAGGAAAGGAAGTTAGGAAAAAAATCAGGGCTTGTTAAAATGGTCTGTGTCCTTTTCTCCTCTTGCAGGCTTGTGGAGTCAAGATTGAAGAGGGTCCCGTGGAGAGGACGGGGGCTGTGGGGACCATCATCTCACTGTACTTTAGAGATCCTGACCAAAATCTTATTGAAGCGTCAAACTATAACCAGTCAACAGCAAAGGACTCTTCTTGATACTTCTTTGGCCTTGGTTACTGACATGTCAAACAACTCACCAGCCCACCAAACTCATTCTAGTCTGGTATACAACGCAAAATTATTGCTTTTACTATAATTGTATTTAGTTTAAGCTGTTATTTTAGAGTCTGTTATGAGTCATTAGGACAGGGTGTGGGTGTTCAGCTCTGCTTAAGTTTCTGTTTTAGTTGTGTTTGGACAAGGCAGTGCAGGCACAGTTTAGTAGAAAAAGTGAAGAATACTACCAGAGGATGTTTATCCACAAGTTTTAAATGGGCGCTTGTGACGGTTTTTATATAACTCTGTCTGTGACATTGCTTTGCAGAGGAAAATAAAAGGTTATAAAGTGCACCAAAGGCTCTGTTGGATTTCTGCTTTTTTTTTTTTTTTTTTTTTTTTTTAATAAAATGTTTGGAAACAAGAAAAATATCTGCTCCTTCTGTTACCATTTCTTGTGTTGTTTTTGTCACTGAGTTCTTAAGCCATTTATTAATGCAGCACTACAGTTGCATTACTCAGCAATGCAGTGTTTAGCTGCACATTAGTTTAAGAGTGAAAAATAAAATCCTGGGATTTAAGTTATTTACATGCAAGAGTAGTACTAAAACCATTTTATAAGTGTGCTGTGGTAGAGGCTGTGAGATCGCAGTAAATCGATAGTTACGGCACACTAACATAAGGCATCTAATCAGATTATTTTGTTGGAGAAAAATTACAAAAAGGTCTGATGTCGACATTATGTAGTCAGTGTTGATTTATCGAAGAACCAAAACACTGAAATGGCCAAAACATTTGAAAAACCCTACCTAAAAAAGCGCTGTATGAACTAAAGTACTGTGGCACTTTCACGTTGCATCTGCAGCTGCTTGGCCACGGAAATCCACGCCATGAAGCTCCCGGAGTGCCGTGTTTGTGCTGATGTTTTGGAGCTCTTCTGGCAGCTTATATTGAATTGCTAAAATTACTGCTGTATATGTGAACTGTATATAACATAATATTGAAGCCCTTTCATGAACAGGTAAGCCCTTTCTCTAGCTTTTCAACCCCACAGTGAGACCATTTTTTGGCTCACATATGTTATATAACAATAAAGAATATGTTATATTCTTTATTGTTGCTTCAGACATACACAATGTCCCATTTAAACATGGCATATGAGCTACAGTTATGGCCAAGAGTTTTGGCAGTGGCACAAAGTACATCATGCACTTTGCCTCTTTAGCTTTTGTTTAGATTATTATTATTATTTTTTTTTTTACACGTTTCTATGATTTAGTGAAGAACAATCACAAGGACGTTATAAGTTAAAAAAAAAAAACTTTATTAACAAATAAATACAAATTCAGTTCTGGTAGTGGTGCCACAGCTATTATCATCTTTTATATTCTCATTTTTTCCCCCATTCAAAGCATTTAAACGTGTGATTTCTTTTCATGTTTGTAACAAGAGACTACAGTTGCTGCAACCCAAAACTGCACACCAGTAATTCACGCTTAGAGTTCATGGAGTAGTAAATATACAAGGGCTGTGTTACATTTCAGTTTTACAGGGAAGTTTGCCTTTAGTTATAGTAATTCACCTTGTTCCTGAAAATCTTCTTGACTAGTGACGTTTGCTTTTATTGTCTTCCACTGATTTTTAAACCTTTAGCATGAATGCTCATTGTTCTAGTTTTTTTGTTTTGTTGTCAAGGAAAAGGCCCACTGATGACACAGATAACCCACTTGTAAACACCCCCTCTGCTACCTGACAACAGAAGCAGTATCGATGAGCGTGGGGAGGGTTGATGTTGCATCACCGTTATATTGTCTGTTTTGATGTGGGTGTAAAAAGTATAATAGCTAAACCTGTGGTATTCGTGCTTATTGTGTTTGAGTTCTCGGACTTGTTGATCAGTGTGTCCCAATACAAAAGAATTCATGTTGCATCATATTAAGGGTTTTCCTCATCGTAGATGATATTTTTAGCTGTAATCCTTTTCATGATGAAACAGTGTAGTGTATATGGAATTATAATGAATGATGTGTGATACAATGGAGCCTATCCCAGCTGTCATAGTGCGAGAGGTGGGGTACACCCTGGACAGGTTGCCAGTCTGTCGCAGGGCTCCTTCCTTCTA